CCCCCCAAAAAATGTGCATTTTTTTTTGAATCTATCAAAAAAAAAAAAAAAAAAAAAAAAAAAAACTCCCAATAAAATACACTGAGGATTGAGGCTGGATTATTTAGCACATGTGAAAACGAAAAGGTTTAAGAGGTGTGAATACTTTAAGGGACCATATCAGTTGTTATGAAGGATTTACTTTAGTTTCGTAGCGGCTGGTATTCTGTCATATTGATCTGATGGCAGATAATTTATCCTCTGAAGGCCTGCGCTGAGACCCTTGCGTGCGTAAAGGACGTATGCACCTGTTGCATGCTGGGTAATGGGAACCACTCCTCCTGTCTGTCAAACCCGTACCTGCTGATTTGTTTATAAGATCATTACAGGCTTGTCTGTTTTCTGCTTGTTTTAACTTCACTGGCTTGCTCAGACATATAGAGCCTAAAAAGGTTTTCAACCCCTTTGATTTTTTTCCCCCTCTTTATTGCTTCTACAAATCAGTCCTGATCAACAAAGTCTGCCTTATTTGAGAAACAAAATTAGAAAAAAACTATATGACGTCAATGCAGTTGTTTATTTTATATTAAATATTTTATTTTCTAGGTTTTTTTTCCCCGTAATCTTATCAAAAAAAGACATATTTTGTCAATCTTGACTCATTTGTAGAAGCAATAAAGAGGATAAAAACATCCAAAGAGTTGAATGCTTTTTATAGGCAGTGTGAAAACACAAGCATGTGCCTCTTTGACATTCATTGGTGTCACGAATGTGTTTAAGGATCCTAATGCTTCTCTTTTAGTCATTCACCTTCTCTTGCAGCTCAACCTCTGACTCTCCAGATGTGGGGATCTGTGATTGTTGTCTGGAATAATTACCCTGAAGCGGGCATGATGAGTGAGGGTTTGTGTGAAGTGCCCCCAGTATTTCAGAAGCACTGGGTGGAGACATTGCCAGGCACTCATCTGTTTGCTTCTGGAGGATGTGTGTTACGGGTCAGAGGACTAATCACTGGTTGCGATGAACGTCTGATTATCTACCTTTGATCACTAATCACAACCCTTAGTAAAAGCCCAGCTGTTTTTCAGGATTTACTGCCGCTTCTCTAAGCTACCGTCCCTCTTGTCTTTCACGAGACGGTCTCTCATTCCGCTTCTGTTTTTCTCCTTCCTCTGAAAACGCTTCTTTCTCCGACGCAGCCTCAAGGACGGAACCGACCTTCCGATCAAATGCGAGATCTCTCCGCTGGTCTCCTACGCGGGAGAGGTGAGGCCAGGAGAGTTTAACAGAAAATCCAGGTGTTGTCCCAAAATCTCTCCTTGACAGTGTTTTCCACTTTTTTTTTTCTTTCTTTTTTTTTTTTTAAAGGGTCTCGAGAAGTTGGTGAAGGGACGAGAGTTACAGGCGACCCTGATGATCGACGAGCACGGCGTCCACGAGCTGGTGAAGAACGGCGTTTAATCCAACCAAGGAGAGACACGGGAGAACAATCCAAAGATCACCTCGTGTTTTTTGTTGTCCTGAGTTTGTTTGGAGAAACTGTGATGCCATCGTCGTGCAATAACAATCGAGTCTCCCTGAAAGGTTCTTGAAACTGTCTGAAGTGAATGAGGCTAATGAAGTACGCAGTCTTTTCTCTGTTTGTATGCCAACACCATACTTTACCTTTCTTTCATAGAGCACTTGAACACATTGTGAAATTATGAATGAAATCCTTGTTGTCTGGACGATGCATTCGCCAAGTGCATCTATTTATTTTGCTTATGAGACTTATTTTTATACGTCCTGATGAATGCTGTTTAGATGGACTTTACCATCTATTTTAACTGGTGATTTTTGTACAAGAATAGGCTGAGATGAAGTAATCAGTATGTCATGAGGATACATGGATCGGGATGTGGGGGGTATTTATAATATCTGCTTCTTTTGGTTGTGTAATCATTAAAGATTAGATGGATACAATGGCTTCCATCTTTTACTAAATGTACTTTCTACGTGTAAACCACGTCAATGCCTCTTATAAACTCTCAATTTGCACAACATTGCATTTCATGTTATGACTGCAGAGTGTTTTCATTGCATCATAGTTCCTATAGTCACTAATCAATATCTAGAGTTTGTTTGATTTTCAAGATCTACTGGAGGAAGTAATGCAGATACTACAGTGCCTTTAAAAGGTATTCACACCCAGGGAGGTTTTACCCTTTTTATTGCTTTTGCAAATCAGTCACAATCAACAAATCCCAAAGTGAAAAAGGTTTTCTGCAAAATAATTAAAAGAAAACATTTAACTTCAGTGATTGCATAAACATCCAAGTCCTTCAAAGTTACTGAGCTAAGTCAACAAAGGTCCAGCCAGTTGGTGCTTGTAGGCTCACGGTGAATGGACGAATGGCAATTCAATCACATACGTACATCAAGCAGTGTGCTCTATCAAATAAAACCCAGTAGATTTTATTGCATAGAGTTATTATCTTGCAACATTCACTCCCTACGAGAAGCTAGCGACAACAGCTAATCACTTCTGTCATTGTTCCTAGCGTGGAAGAAAATAAATGACTCTTCCTTACAAACCAGTCAGTTGTCTCTCAAATAACGCTCTGAGTTGTTAGTTCAACTTTCCTAGTGCCATTTTATTTCAAGTATTGTAAATATACCCTTCAAAAGAAAATTCCACAATTAGGGCAATTTTTCACAAATAATTTGTCCCTTTAAATGTAGGATGAATTTCAGTTTTAAATTTGAAGCGATGTTAAATATTTTAGAATTACTCTGTTGCTGCTCAGGGTGTATTTTAAATAAGCTTAGCTTTTTAAAAACAATGTTTAGGTAAGGTAAGGTAATTTTATTTATATAGCACATTTTCAGCAACAAGGCAGTTTAACAATATTTATCTCGGTACGTGCGAATCCGGGTGCTCTAGAGCTACATACAGCTGCTTCAATAAAAACCAACTAAGTTTAATATTTAGCTTTTTGAAAAATGTTTAACTTCAGCTTTTACCTTTGAATGAGTTGATAATCCTTAGTTGTCAGGGAATTGACGGTAAAATTATGACAAACTGACATTTTCAACCAGCCCCATTTCTGCAACTGGTGAAAATCTCTAAAAGCAATAAAGGGCAATAAAATCAAATCCTTCTACTTTTATAAATCCCTGTCTCCGGAGTTACTCTACCACAGGCTAGAATGACGTTGTCATCATAAAACAAGTTTGCAAGTCAAGATTACCAGAATATTGTAAAAGAAAAAAACAAACAAAAAAAAACAACTTTTCCATATCAGATAGTTAAGGTTTGTCTAAATCTATCCGGACAAAACAGCTGCAGAAGTTGTAAAATATCATTAAGGGACTCCTGCCTGATGCGTTGACTCACATCTTTCTCTTTCTGTATTTGTCGAACTGAGACCCATGCCTGGACTCAGTCCTGTTTCTACGCAAGGCAGTGAATGAAGTGATTAAAGCGCACACGTTACTTTCTATTAAAGTTGCTTCAGTCTCTGCTTGTCAAAAGAAAGCCTCTTTTCAGGTGGACGAAAGCTTTCTGATTGAGACTTGGATTCAGCCTTAATTGAAACCATATGTGTGGATTTCTGGGACTTTGGCACATTCCCAGGAATCCACAGAATGTGAGGGTTTTTTCCTCCTTCTCTCTCTGCCTCACTCCCTCTCTCTCCCTCCTCTGGTTCTTTTCTTTCTTTTTTTCCACAGTGCAGAGGCGTCTTACATCAGCCGAGTGAGTCCTGCTGAAGGCAGCTGACAACTGGACGACGGAGGACCGAAGCATTCAGCCGCCACGCTCCTACTGGAATAAACTAAACCAATCTTTGAGCAAATGGTCTGAAGACAAAGAAAGACAAAAGTAAGTGGTCTCAATTTCTTGGTTTTAATTTTTGTAAGTTTTGCCGTTTTCTCCTCCGCTTGAACCGTCACATTTTGTATCAGCCTCACTGAAGCCTCCATGACAACTTTAAGATTTGATTGATGCATTTTTTTTTAGTCTGGGGCAGCTGATGCGTCTGAACCTTTTCAGTAAACGAGAAAGCGATGCAGAAACTCATCTACTCCAGATGCTTTCCACAGAAGCCGTTGCATACGGTTTCACTTTGTTATGGTTGTCACAAATGTGATTTATGTTCATTCCTGCTCTCAGTTTTTCTCTTATTTGACTAAAGAAAAAAAATGTTCTCATGGCTGCAGGCCTCATCAAATCCTAATTTATTTCTTTACTCTGAAAACACATTAAAGTTTCTTTCTTTTGTGAACAACAATGACATCGACGACCAACCCTCCAGAGAACTAATATAAAATTCTTTGTGTTTCAAATAAAATCTCAAAGTCTCAAGCCTGGAAATATTTGTGCTGCTTTATTGTGGCTTAAATGTGTGTGGTTTTTTTTGTTTTGTTTTGTTTTGTTTTTGTTAAATTTAGTTAAACACTTTCAACAATAGCTCCATAGAATCTCATAAAGATTCCCTGTGGTCTGTTGAAGCTCTTTGCTCATGTCTTTGTGTTGGCTGGTGCGCTGTGGGTGTTACACGCGGCAGGTATGCGGGTATCCTCCTGTGGTATGTGGCTAAAAGACGTCCAAACAGAGGACTCTTTTGCTGCCTGGAGTCCTGGATTTGCATGAGCTCACAGCTTTGACATCTGACCCGCGTCGCTCGGTGAGCTGCAGAGTCAACAGCAGACCCCGGAGAGATGGCTCTGATCAATGGAAATATTGTTGCAGGAAGGTCGAGCTGAAGAGTTTGCCCTGCTGCCTGCCTGCGTGCGTCCGACTCCGTAGGGAAGCGCAGTGGATGCAGAAGTTAGTCCAATCTGACCAGCAGTTGGCAGAAAATTAAAAGCATCCTGCTTTTAATTGTTTAAAAGTGATCCCCGCCCCCCAACCCCCCGTTGATTTATCTATCACAGATAACACTTCTAGACTTTTTGTTTTCGCCTGATCACCGAGAGCCATTCTAGCACACGAATACACGTCGATCTGAAAACATTATGTTGTAGCTCTGCCAAACCTCTGGCTCTGTCACATGCCATTCCGCAGCTTGTGGAGGTTTTCCTACTATGACCAGCCTCTCTGTCTCTGTGTCTTGAAGAAGCACATCCCTACAGCACGATGGTGGCCTGACTATTGCCTTCATGTGCAATTTCTCTCGAAAACCATTGTCGCTTCCAGCACGGCCTAGGCTTTCTCCCCTTCACTTGGATTGTCTCCGGTTGACTTTTGACTGGGCCAATCAGGGAACAGAAGGAGAAGTTGTGAACGATGATTTGATTTTTTTTTTTTTTTTTGTTGCGCTGTTTTGGAATTGTAGTTCATCTGTAGTTTTAGCTCCAACAAAGGAGGAAGTGAAGGAATCTGTTCAGTCCGTGTTGGCCACGATTACAAATATTAGATTAACTTTGGGATCGGCGCTTCTCCGAGGGATGCGTTGCATCAAACTGGCGCATTGCATACATCACAGGCAAATGTTAGCAATTGGGTAAAATTTAAAACACAGTCCGAGCCTCTCGGAATCTTCTCAACGGCCTGATCAATATTCTTTGTTTCATCAACAGATTTAATTTAAGGATTTAACCACAAATTAATCCCAGAATGTCTTTATCTGTCGAAACTAGTTATTTAAGCCTTTCTGATTCGTGCAGCTTTGTTCTCATTTACCCTTGTTAATATTCAACTCTTTCTTCTCGATGACGGATAAAATAAAAAGGTTTTTGGTGAAAGCTGAGTTAAAAGACTCTTGTTCATGACAGATAGGTGAATGTACCCAGAAACCACACCGATGGGTTGAATTTAAAGGAACAATCTTTTTTTTGATGGTGTTATCGTGATGTGTCTGTTATTTTAACCAGCCATCCCATCCCTCCACGGCCTGGTGGCTGACTGACATCCTCTCATGTAAGCCTTAATCACGCACAGCAAAGGCTGCAATTTCAGCCCCACATTCAAAACGCTGCACCACAGCTCGGCTGTAACTCAACACAGACGTCTGTCTGATTGAGAGCATTCTCAAATCAATCCTTCTGGGAGCAGAGAGCCAGCTGCTCTCTGGCTTGTAATTTGGTATAAATAGTGACATTTTCAAAAAAACATCGAGCCTAAAATACTGCAGTGTTTTTGTTTGCACTTTAACCTTATTTGGCCCATACCGTAATCACACTCATCAGCGACGTTGAGATGGATAGGGTTACATGTAGCCTGAAGGGTGTTTTGTAATTATTCCAGGTTTGAGTTTGGGGAGTTTTGTTTAACCTCCGTCCAGAGATTCAGCTCAGGTTGCACAAGATGTTTGATTCCCTGCTGTAATCAGTTCCCTCATGTTACAGGTTTAATCTGTGCACACAAATGACCGTAAGACTAAATATATGAAAAAGGACGTTGTAATCTAAGTCATCCATAACTCACACTAGTTACCGACTGTGTCTACGTCTGTTTGTACATGTGGCCTTTGTGTTTCATTCTCCCTGTCCTGTTTACACGTGGCACTGTGTTTCTGTTTGTCTGTTTGATTCTTGTTGCCTGGCTCCACCTTACTCCACCTTACTGTCTCTCAGTTTGTCTTCCTTTGATTATGGGCTGTCAGCAGTCGTTTGAAGAGAACAATTTTTACAGCGAGCAGCCACAAGAAATTCGATCTTAGGTTGTGATTGAATGGATTTATCGGGGATATTCACCGCCGGATCAATTTACTAGATGTGCTTTACTTGTATCGAGTTGGACTTGCTTAAACCATAAGAGGTGCCTCGGTTCTCTGTTGCACAGTTCGAACAAGGTGTTGGAAGATCTGCGGTGGCAGCTGAAAGATTTGATGGCTGCACTTCCACAACGTGAGTCTCCGGTACACCCCAAAGTGTTGTTTCGAGAAGTGGTGACTGTGGAAGTCAATGGAGCGAAGTTCAAGAAACCAGTTTGGGATCATTTGTGACATGGTGCGTTACCCTGCTGGAGTTAGTCTTAAGAAGATGGACACATTGTGTTGGGATGTTGAAATGATGGGCACTACAGGTCTCAAAATGAGCAGAAAAAAAGAACATCCCCCTCGTCACCACCAACTTGAACTACTGATACGATGAAATTCTCATGGTCTTAATGTTGCAGCCGATATTCAGGCATTTTCATCCGCACGGCACGGCTCACTGGATATTTTCTTTTTTTCTTTGTAAACCTGAAAGAGTTTGTGCTTGGAAACTTTTAGTCCTCTTCTCCTTTACATTGAAGACCTATTTACAATGCTACAGAAAACGCATATGTTCTGTGACATACATTATCGCATGTGAACCAATGCCCTGTTCACAAGTAACAAGAAGTTAACTTTTGATGGAGAATAAAAGAAAAATATACAATGAAACAAAACTTATATTGATGAAGCATTAAGTATCTTCCTTCACAGATAGAAAGCTAACAAAGTAGCCAATATGGCTCCTTGATCAGCATTTTCCGTCCACTAGACAGCATCCGTGGTCTCTATGGTGACCAACTGCTATACCGGCCAATAGGAGGCGGTATGGTCACCTCTTGGGCTTTGGGCTTTAGGTCAGGTATTCACATCAGTATCTGGGTACATCTTTATCCTATCGAGTGGATTGAAACGTGTTACCTGCCAGAACATCTCGTACACCCAGCTTGGATTGAGACAGGTTGTGATGACGAAAAAGCTGAAACTGAAGCTGTTGCTTACATTCAAGTTTTCATCCTACCAGTGTACCTGCAGTTGTAAATAATCTATCCTGTCTTCCTTAGATTATTTCATATTAGCAACAAAAAGCAGTGGAATAGTTGTTTCCTGCCTCACCGGCAGATGACTCCTCCACATTTCATCCATTAATATCCATTCAACATTACTCTCCTTTGTAAGATAAAAAAAAATATATTGCATCATAGAGTGTACAGCTTAAAAATTAACATCAAATAAAGGGTGAACATACATACATTCTTTGATATTTAATAAGCAGCTTTAGATTATCTAAAAAGCAAAGATTTTGAAAATGAAAGAAAGTCATCACTGCTAAATAGAGAAGATACAATAGCATATATGCAAAAAAAACCCGGGAATGTTTCTAAAACTGTGAACTATCAACAACAGATGTGACTCTTCAGAGTGTGTCCTTACACACCAGGGTAGTCTTAGCAGAGTGATGTAAAAATGGGGGGGAAAAATGGAAAAATTAAGCAAAGTGTAGCAGAGAGAAGTCTATCTTAACAGAAGAGATGGAAAATAAAGGGGGTTTTCTTGGCATCGGTTTGTGTTTTTCTCAATCTGAAAGTGTAACTGTAAAATGTTTGAGCCTGGAAATTCTATCAAAATGAATCTCCAGAGAAAGATTTCAGCCTCCTCTCCTTACATAACAAACACGAGCTCCGTCTTTGCACGGTTCTGACGCTGAACACTTTGAGTCTTTGTGAGATTAATTTGCTGGGTTTTACAGGATTGAGATCGGCTTTTCCGGGCATTTTTACAGGTGAGCCGAGCTGGCGGGTGTACAGTTTCTCGTTTTCTGTCTCCCTCAAGTCTTCTGAATATCAGCTGGCAGCATTCAGCGCCCGCCTGTGCTCTGGCTTAAGCGGCTAACGTCCTCAGGCAACCCGACGTCTTCAAAATAAATCTTGAAACAAAAGACACGCTATAAAAATCAAATTTGGAAAAACTCAGAGAGGGTAAATAAAAAGGCCTGACAGACACTGATTTTTGCCATGAGACCCCATTGCACCGCCCAGAGAGTGAAACTTAAATTTAACTAACGTTGTGTTTACATGGCTCCACCTGGGTCTGATTGGGAAATGTGGTTCATATTTCATCCTTTTCCCGTAAAAATGAAACGTGTGATGCTTTATTACAGCCTTAAGGTAGGACTGAGAGG